GCACGGTGATAACCTAATTTTAAGAAGTCGTTATTATGCTAACTTCTCTAAAACAAAAAAGAATTTTGATTATTTTTTTTATATACTTCTCTTTTGTTTATTCTTCGTAGTTTTCTTTTTTTCAAAATGTACTTTAAACATTATAAATAATGTATATTTAAATTGATTTAAACAGCCAATCATACGAATGTCTGCCTATGAGGAAATTTCTATTATAGGTCCCCGCTACAACAATATTCGAACACTATTATAAATTTTGAAAATGTGATCGACCTATCATAGATTCGATTTATTATAAACTTTTGTGATGTCACCGACTTTATATGATTCGCATACGTATATAGAATATAAAAAGTCACTGCTATTAGTTGGTTTATTATAAATATTATAAATCAGGTAACAGATCCGGAATGTTCCGATTAGAAATCCAACGAACATAAAAGACGAGCAAGGTTAGGACAAAAAGAAGAAAAGTCCGTAAGTTTTAGCAGCTTATATCATGCACTAAGGTGATCGACTAAAATGAAATTCGCTTTATTATTAATTTTTAAAGGTGTCTGTAATACTGATTCGCTTAATTATAAAAGTCCTGGTACAAAATAGATTTTTTCCAATAGTTCGTTTCATCTATAAGATTATTTCTTATAAAATTTTGATAAATAAATAAGAACCAATACTTTAACTTGAATTAAAAATCTTAAAATGGTCAGAAAATTCAAACGATGGTTTTCCCAGTCCATTCACCAGGATAATTATATCACTATAATATTGACACACTCAGCATTATTAAATTTTCATCCAACAAGTTTGTTGTGTTTGGTTTGTGAAAATTTATGGAAAAGGCTGCTTTTGTCAACCAATAACCTTGAAAAGAAATATAAAAAAGGCACCAAATATGAATTAGACCTTTATCTTGTCAACCAAATAATTTTGATAATTTTGATAAGAAATATAAAAAAGGTACTAGGTATAAATTATTCATAGATGTTAATGTTAAAGAAGTTAGATATGATCAAGAAATTTGTTGACGGGTTTGAAAATGATTCAAAAAAAAAGATTTTATTACAGCTTTCATAAATTCCGGGACACAAAAAATTATGACCGAATCGATAGCTTTTGACGTTGGTAATTTATTGATTTCGACTAGAGATGGGCAAGTTTAGTAAATTATTGTTATTCATTATTTCTTATCATTTTTTTGCGTATTAAGTAATAACAATTGATATAACGATAAGCAAAAGCTTAATCTGATCAGCAAATTTTTGAGTTTAAAATTTGCCTTCCAGTTTATATTTTAAAACGTGATAAGTTATAATTATTCGCATAGGGAATAATTAGTAATAATAGGTATGTGTAAATATTGGAGTAAAAAATAAGTAATTATTACTTACATTATTACCTTGCCCATCTTTAGTTTCGACTCGGTAACTTACCGATTCAGTCATCGGAAAATTTTTAGGTGTCCTAGAATTTATCGACGAAAATCAAAAACTTATCAAGCTGGCAAGTGCCCCAGAATTCATTTTTCACCGGCCCAGTCTGTTCAGTGGGCTTCGGGCCCAAAATTTTTGGAGGTTTGTTTCAGGTCTAAGAGAGTCCGATTCATACCCTAGCTGTACGATTACTTTTAAAAATCAGTCCTAAAAATTTCTATATTCAGCCAAACCCCCGAGCAGTGAAAATATCTAAAAAAATTTTTTTTTGTTCTCTGGGAACATGAATTTAAATTTTTAGGTTCCCAAAAAATTTTAATGTTCTCAAAAAAAATTTTTAGAATAAAAATCAATGTTCGCAAATTGTTCCAAAATGGGAGCATAATTTTTAAATATTGTGTTCTCAAAAATATTTTAATGTTCTTGAAACGCTGAGAACATTAAATATTTAACACTGCCCCGAGATGCAAGATCAAAATACTGCGCAACCTCCATAAATAAAATTTTTTCTAAATACACGCATTTAGAAAGGTCCGACTGTATAAAAAATTTTTTTTAAAAATTTATAAAACTCGATCCGGTTATAAAACCAAAAATAATTTTATTTACCTCTGAATAAAATAGTCTAGATGTAAAATAGATTCAGATAACAATATTATATATTATGGCTCGCTAAATAAAAACTTCTAAAATATTAATTTATATTACATAAAACTTTGAATAATTTATTAATTTATATTACATTACTATGTATTTAAAGATAGAATTTATAAGATTAATTGAAAAGGAAACAAAGAGTCAACTATACACCATTAACTATACTGAACCTAATACGGTAATAGTTTCGGAACAAAAAAAAGCATCGGTTTTACATATGAGATATACTGTAGTAGAAGTCATATAAGCATGTGCCTTTCAGATTAATAAGTTTGTGCAAATGTGCGGGTTATTTACAAGACCACATGATCATTTCATGTTATAAGATTAACAGTTGATATCGATAACTTGTTATCATATTCTTGTATATACTTCATGAAAAGAAAAACCGACCTTTTAACGATAAAATGGGTTAGTCATATTTAGGACTTTCATTCAATCTAGCCGGAATACTTTGAAAAGAAAAGAAAAGCAAAAATTTATTACTCGCTGTGACAAAATTTCATTAATACTCTTTGTAAAATTTCGATACGCCATTTTTTCCTGAGGACTACTCCGTTTCCATAATTGTTCAGTCACATTATTAATCACAAGCAAATCATTTTCAGACATCCTGTTCGCTTCTTGCCTAACAATCAATTTAAATACGTTGAATGCACTTAAAGGTCGTCGTCCTTTATAATAATAAAAAAGTCCTTTATGGCGACATAGTAACTCTGAAGTGATATTTTCATCGAGCTGTGGTGGTGGGTGAATATTTTGTGGTCGATGGTTGGCAATAAATGTATTGACTTTTTGTTGAAGATCAGAATGTTGACATTGGCTTGCCATTTTATTTTTATAAAATATTTTGAATATAGAATTTTCGAAAACTGAAAAAGTACGAAAAAAGATGGATATTGTACATTTATTTAACTCATTTATAACAGGTCCTTGTCATGACGTAACACACTCAGGATCTAGTTCTCTTTACACGTGTTGTTTATCAATGTAAAATATCATGTTAATCATATTTATCGTGTCATTTAAAACACTAAACCATTATTGTAGGTTCTCAACGGATGCATATCGGATATATATTACGGAAATCCTCTGGAATCACTGGTCGAATGGAATCCTGGCGTATGATCAAAATATTTACATATTAAGCTGCTACGTACACATTATGAATCCGTCAGCTGAATCCTTCGTTTTATTTTTATAGAAATTTGAATTACTTCTAAACATCGTACAAGTTCGGATTATCCCGTTAGGAAGAATGCGGAATGTACGTACGGAAATTATAGAATTACGGGAATTATTCTATTTACATAGATCTGCGTTCCCTTTAAACTGAATTAGAAAGGCTGATTTTAAAGTTAACATATCATATCCAAAAATGGAATTTCCTCAATTAGTAATTTAAAGAATAATTATCTCTAGAATAAGTAATTTTCTTAGCAAAATAAAATTCCTAAGCGGAGTCTGCATAATTTAAAAGAATAATATCACTTTGAAAAGTGTCTTCTAGAACTATTTCGCCATTTAGAGCCATGCTGTTTGAAGGGTACTTGTACAAAAAATTCGGACCTCCCATGATAAGTATTAATTAAAGGATAATGCTTATGACAAAAAGATATATAAATATGTAGTGTTACGACCCATAACGGCAAAAAAAAGTACGAGTACACAGAGATAAAAGAAACCTTGGATTGAAACAATAAATGAACTATGAACTTAAAAACGTGCACAAATGAGAGAATATGTATATTCCTTAATAAAATTTTCTAAAATGCGATGCATTAATGTTCGCTTAATACATTAACATGTTACAATTTAAAAATTTATTGCAGTATTATCTTCTCATAATTCCGTATTTTTTCACCGAAAATCACTTCATAAACACCTTATTTCATCGACAATTAATTCATAGACAAGTTATCTCACAGATTTCACAGATAAGTTTTTTATATATTGCAATAACTTATACATTACATAGAAAGTATTTGCAGTATAATTTCTAGTTAGATTTTGGCGGGTTTACCACAAAATTCCGAAAGACAGATTCCCGAAAGGACCTAATACCGACAAAGTTAGCCGGCATTAGTTATGATGGCCAATTTAGTCGGTATTATGTTCTTTCGGGAAAATGGTTTTCGGGATTTTGTGGTAGAACCGATTTTGGCATAAGGCATTTAATAAAGCTAAATTTGTGCTAATCAATACCTCAATGACAAAATTAAAGCCATAAGTATGCATATAAGAAAACCAATCATCGGACTTTCAATTATATTTTGGACTGGACATAATTTATCTAATTTATTGAGAATTACAGGAGCGACCGTCGATGTTACACGACTGGTTTTTCACGCGGTGTGAAACACATAAAAAAATTATTTTACAATACTTGATCGGACTTGATCAGTCAGTTAGTACATGTTATGATTATAATCCCACACCATTTTTTATTATAAAAAAATGGTGTGGGATTATAATCATAACATGTACTAACTGACTGATCAAGTCCGATCAAGTATTGTAAAATAATTTTTTTATGTGTTTCACACCGCGTGAAAAACCAGTCGTGTAACATCGACGGTCGCTCCTGTAATTGAGAATACAGTATGTCCGATACAAAATATAATTGAAAACCCGATGACAAGTTTTCCCGATATCATAAAAATTACTTCAATTACTTCAGGCTTTGCTAAAAGTATTTCGGGAAATTGTTGAAGTACCTCAGAAATTTATATACCTAAATTGCGGCTATTGAGGAGTTTCAAAATTATGATACAGCATCTGATTCGGATAAAATAAGTGATGTATTTATTTTAAATTGAGCAACTTTCGTTTTAAAAAGTTCATATTTATATGCTCTATTTTAATTTTCTGATTTCAGAATTCAAACTCTCACTTATTTTTGTAATAGGTCAATCTTGGAGCCCCTATCAATTTGAGTTATGACATGTATTTTTAGATTTCGGTTTTTGTTTCAGATTGCGACATGAATTACGGCTTGCGGTTCATTTTACTAAAAATTGTGCCTAAATATTTTCGACACAGCCGTAACTAGTTTCTACGACATGTATACATTAATTTTAACCCTAGTCCTAAATGACAGTAGGATGATTCAAAATTAGCCTATTTCGAAAATTAATCTATTTCGAAAATTAATCTATTTCGAAAATTAATCTATTTCGAAAATTAATCTATTTCGAAAATTAGCCTATTTCGAAAAATTAGTCTATTTCGAAAATAAGTGAGAGTTTAAAAAATTCTATTTTTGTTTGAAATTCCGAAATTAGAAAATGAAACAGGGGTTGTTTTTTTTTATTTTGGATATATCATAGAATTTATAAGTATTCAAATCAGAAATCGCCGTCAGTGAAATAAATTTGTTTATGAAATAAGCTATCGGTAAAATAAACTATGAAATGAACCTGTCTGTGAATTAATTTTCTGTAAAATAAACTGCCTATGAAATGAACCTGTCTGTAAAATACATTTGTCTGTGAATTAATTGTCGTGAAATAAGGTGTATATGATGTAATTGTCTAACCGCTTTCCGTCTTGGATATATATATATATGGTGGAGAGACGCAGTCATTACCCGTTATTAACATTATATAATAGTTACATAATGTTAGTATATTAAAATAATAGCTGTTGTTAAACACAAACTTTTTACGATTATCATTAGCTAAAACTAGCTAGGATATAGCAACAATAACAGATAGAAGTAGATGCCAGTAATTTATAATTTAATGGCTTCCGACAATCATTGCTTCAACAGATTGAAAGATGGCAGTTTTAAATAGTAATTCTTTAATGTATTTTTTAGAGCAAATTTTATATGAAAATATAAACAAACACTAACTAACCTTGGTCCTATTTCGTTTTATATAGCATGTATGCATGCGTTCTTTACTAATCTCTTAGGTCTTGTTCTAAGTATCAATTAAATTTCGGAATTATGTTTCTTCCTCCAGGCCGAGACTCTGAAGATTTCCTTAGAGTCTTGCGATTCTTAGAATGAGCCAGCGAAATTTCAGAAAATATGGTGCTTGGAGCCTATGTTAAAGATCAATCTTATAAAACAATAGTAATCTTTAAAACACATCAACTTTTTATACAGAAGATTTTCAAAAAAATATTTAATAAATTTATAAAACCTATAAAGTTCCCGGTCAGTTTTTTGAAAACGTCATGTATAAAAAGCTATAGTGCTTTAAAAAACATGTCTAATATATACTTCTAGCACCATAGCCAATTCTTTAGAATTTAAGAGAGAAGCTATAACGAAATGGTAATTCTCAAAATAACGGGCCGCTATTTTAAGTTATGACCCGAATTAAACTTAATTTAGGCCAAATTTTGAGGCGTAATTCGAGAATTTAAGGTAATAAATTATTGATATGATAATGTACTTGGATAACAAATAAATTAGGTAGAAATTAGAATTGATTAGTTCGGAGCAATAAACATGAGTTTTCGAGTATCCATGATTTTTTTTTTTTTTTGTTTCCAATTATAAAGTCAAGTTTCTCTATTAGGACCTTCAGGGTATCTTTCACATGTTGCAAAGCATAAACCCAGGATACTGCGTAAAATATGATTTTAGGTTTAATTTTTATATGATCGAATTTATCGATTCCAATTTCTAAAGGTGGAGTCATTTCTAACAACCTTTTGGGATTACGTAAAATTTAATCATTTGATAATTAAATTTGAATAATCAATCTTCTATTTATTGCACTCGGATAATAAATAAACTGGACCAGAAAATTAAGATTAGTTATCGTGTAAACTCTTATGATCATGGATTTTTTTCTTGTTATTTTTTTGTACGTTATTACAATCTCGAATTAAAACTCAGTTAGCCAATAATGACTCATAATTGCACGATAACATCGATATTTGATAAATTTGTTCTGTCAGAATAAATGATTGGCTGAAATGTGCCGCTGCACGGCACGTATCAGCGAACCATTGCTCCGACAAACCAAATTTCATGATATTTATCATCGTATGATCCAATATCTTATAATTATTAAAAACTTACGCTTATGAATGTTATTTATTTCCCCTACTCGACATAACACAGAGTGAACAATTCGCTAAAAATATATATCTAAAATTAATCAAATGCTAACCTTAACCCTATGCGATGTCGAAGCATCCTGCAGGGGAAATAACTTTCGGGGAATTGAGCGACGGCCATCTAAAATGACGCGTATCTATAAAATAAATGTGAATATGTATGTACAGTAGATGCTATTTCGCGAAAATAGAATAGTTCAAAGGTTATTTTATTAGCAAAAACTTCGACTTTCAGGACTACCAGTCCAGGAATATGAAAACAACCCCTTCGCCCTCGCCATAGAGATTAGAAGTGTCTAAAATAATCTAACATATTAACGTAGTAACCTTTAATTCAGCCGGTACTAAGATAATTTTGGCCCATGATCAATGATCAATATCATTCGACCCGGAAATATGGCTAAACAATCCCAATCCTTACTTTGATAATCAATGGAGAGCAGCTAGAAAATCTAGGATTAAAATTTTTTTTTCATATAACACATTTTATTTAAGTATAAAACAAGAAAAGGTCACAAGTAGGAAGATATATAGATGGTTATGTAGAATACGCGTTAACTTTATCTGAAATGTAGAATTTTTTATATCTAATCTTTTTTTTTTTTTTTTTTTCTTATACTTGTGTTCTATTAGAGTTTGTTAATCCGTTTAAAATAAGTTCGTCAAATGACCTATTCTTTCAATGTCTTCTTGAATTGAGCTTTTCATGAAAATTAATTGCCATTAGATTTATAGTAGTAGTCTTAACCAGTAATTACTACATCTTTATTATCTTCAAAGACATCAATTTTTACCAGTCAACATTAAATTGACCAGAATTTGAATAGCCGTCTCGTTGTAATTCATGTATTCTAAAATCATCTCTCGTTTGTAAAGGTATTGTAGGTGAGGGTAATGGTGGTGGAGAGCTAGGCACAGGTGGAATATCTTCTAACGCCGTATTCAGACTCGAAGAAGTCAAAAAACTTGATCCACCACCAGGACTGTCAGGTATAAGTATATTCATATCAGCTATATCATTTGTTTCTAGATGATTCCTAAGAGATCTTGAGGGAAGTTGCAGTTGATTACTATCTTCTCCTATTATTTGGAGTTGAAATGAAGGATTAACTTCATCACGACTTATTCCTGATTGTTCTTGAGAACGTAGGACGTTTGGTGGTACATAGTAACAACATGGTAAAAATACTGCTGCAGATTTAGTTGTTCCAAATATTAGAAAAATCATTGTTCCACTTTTTTTTTTTAAAAAAAAGACAATATTAATATAAATATAAATATATGAATATATATTAACATGTAATATGTGCGTATAAATAAACTCACATTAAACAACTGGAAAAATCTGCGACAATAGACCATCCGCCAGTTTTTTTACTAAGATATTTCATCAATGCTGATAATAATGATATTAATAATGAAATTAAATATACACAACTTAAAACCAATAAACGACCGGCTAGTCCTAGTTTAATAGCGGTATTTCTACTCTGCCTATTTGTAAAATTTTGCCAACGGGACCAAAGTACAATGCCAGAATGAACTAGTAAAATAATGAAATAATTAGATTATATACTCCAAATGTATCATACATTATTATAATCATTTCCATTCCTTTTTCTTTTTCTTTTTTAACTTACCTGTAATAATTAGTGAGATAATAGTCAGAATAATCATTGATATTAAGTAGCAATACCAAATCCATATTATATGAAAAGATTGTACGCAAAAGAATTCAGTTGCGCTAACGTTTGAATTTGTTACTCTACTATCAAGTATTAAACTTATAATATTATATAAAATTGTCCATCCCCAAATAAATCCAGTGAACCACCAAAAATATTTTTGTTCAATTCTAACATTATATCTTACTACGGCGAACCATAAATTAATTGCTAAGATTACTGGTAGTAATTGTAATGGATAAGAAAAAAAATGTAATAAATTTTGCTTGAATTATACATAACGTTATTGAATTATTAGCGGGTGTCGTGGCATCTTGTAATACCTCCATTACATTACCATAGTATAATGTAGATGGAAGGTAACTTATGTGAATGAAAAAAGCACATATACATAGTTGAAGAAGTGTATGTTTAAGGAAATATGTTGTTGATTTTAACATTAATATTATTAATGACCCTGATAGAGTCAAGCTTATTAAATTTATAATGACATAAATAAAGTTTAAAGGAACGTAATCAGACATAACGTAAAGAAATGTTAAATTTAGGTCAATATTTAATTTTTATCACAGATCTAAGAATGAAGAAGCAACGATCATCACATCTCTTTGAACAAAAGAAAAATATGATTTGAAAGTTGAACTTGGAAATCTTGACTAAAAAAAAAAAAAACAGGCAGAAGTTTATTAAGCCTTTTTTTCCTTTTTTCTTGTTTGTTTAATTTTTCAGATCTTGTCAAACGTCCTACCTAACCTGTAGATTTTTTTCTTTCGATAGATTAAAAACTCTTTTTTTTTTAACAATTATTTTTATATTTAAAAATTGCTATACTGATATTGTTGTTGTGACTAAATCGTCATTAGCATTAGGAAGTACGTACAATGAGAATAGGTCGTAATTTCTAATTTCGGCTAGTGGTAAACAAGCATACAAACTTTTTCATCTCCGAATATACATAACAGTTTAAATAGCATTTATGTAAGCATTTATGTGAAACGATAAAAGACTCGCACACACTAATGAAATGCTAATTTAACTTATAGTAAATATGAAATAGCTTACCCTCTAAGGTCACATCCGAAACTAATTCTCCAGAAGAAATCGGTTACTCAAAATTTTGTTTATTTATTTATATACTTTGTTGATTAATTAATTTATCAAAGTATGAACATTGTAGCAGTTAATATGTGTATATTCGTTTGTTCACTCTCAATTTCGTATTTTGATGCAAAACATTATGATGGAAATATTATTTCTAATATTAGTGCATCAGTTTTTAAATTGTGGAGGTTAAATAAATAATGTGGTGCTCAAATTAGATCTGAAAAGAAACAAAAGATTATGCGTGTATACGTTGTGCTCCTGGCTTTGTTAAATGCATGTAAGAAGATCGGGAAGCACATGGCAACTTCAAGCATGGCATATATATGTTTCTTGAAAGTTTTTCAATTACTTAACCTTTCACAAGATTAATGTCATTCAAAAAATGCATATAAGTTATATTATAAACAAACTAAATTAGCTTTTTTTAATGAAGTCATCTCGATATATGAATTACCAATGAATTTAGCATTTGCATAACAAAGACAGAGTTTTATGTACATGCTACATACATACGATTTTATTCAGCATAATGCTAAAAATAGATGATTTTGTATTAAAAATACTGGTAACAAACATTACACGACGCATAAATATATTCTTTTCTTGATATGTGCTTACACTGTCTTATATTAATTGTACATTAAAAATGTTAAGGAAATCTAGAATTTATGATGGATTGCATATTCAATAAGAATAAGAGATATGAATGGAGAAAATTTTTCAACATGTTAACCATTCATAACGCAATTCTTTTTTTTTTATTCCAGTTGAAAATTTTCGCGGGATAAAGTGAATCCATTTATCCATTTATATTAGTGGCACAAATTAATACTTTTTATGCTGTATCTCTCAGGACGTAATAATATTAATTTGGAAAGAAAACCGCTCTATATGAGTAGTGTTTCGAGACTCTATTTGATAAATCTATATATAAGTTTTATTTATTTATTAGGTTACAACTCGGTTAGAAGCGAAATGAATTATATGTATATGTCGTACGCTGGAACAGAATTATTGAATTATTGTGGATTTGGATTCCACCTAAGTTGATTCTAAACTCATCAATATGTAATAAATATGTAATTGATTAATAGTAACGTTACATATGATAGTTTATGTTAACATCATGTATCATAAAGAAAAAAATTAAGCAAATTTTCTACATATATTTGAAAAAAAAATTTTTATTCATTTTAAAGATTCTTACATACCAAGATTGGAAATGCGAAAGATCGTTACTGGGCCAAAAAAACGGTTGCTTTATGTGACCTTGGAACACCAACTAACCTCATATTGCATCTTATAAAAATTGATTCAAACCTACCCGTTCATCAGGCACATACCCAAAGTATATTATTTAGCATAATGAGATTAATACTGATATAAAGTCAGTTGTCATCATTCATAACAGTCTTTTAATAAGCTTTTTTATAACGATTACAAATATACTGTACATATATAATTCTAACTCTTTATATTTTCTTTTGAAATTATACAAAGATACTATTTAATATTCTATTTTTTTTAATTAACTATAGATGGAGGATTATGAAATGATCGATCATTTGTTGATCGTGACCGATCATATACATTTTTTTTGTGTATGATCGGTCTATAAGGGATCGAGCTTATCAAACATTTTAGACTATAAAAAGATCGATCTAAACAAATTAACATATTTAAAATATTCGATTTACTGTTTATTTAAAAATTTTAAAATTATTTAGTACTAGTTACTTTAATGTTAAACGATGCCGTAAAAGTTCATATACAAGATCTCCAGACCCAACATGAATTAGACCGGGTACGAAAGAATCTTAAATAGTTAGAATGCCTATTATAAATACAGTGTGTATGCACTTTAATTTTTTTCTTCTCATGATGTAACCTCTGGGCGAGTACTAGACCCCGGGTCTCCTAAATGAGGTCGTCTAGTTTTTAAATTGATTACTAACAAATTTGTAATTAAAAATCATGTGATACATATAAATTACTATATGCACGATCCCTACTAGGAGGTTTAAAAATTGGTGGAATGAAACAGACCCAGGTCTTGTATATGAACTTTTACGATAGTAACGTTTGGAATAAGTGGACGCAGGAAAGCAAAATTTAGCTAAATCCCAAAAAATAATATTGTTATTTTGTAATCACATAACGGGATTGTATTATGAATTACTCCATCACGTTAACTTTGCATTCTGCCTAATAAATAAAAGAAAAATTATAGGTAAATTTCTTAATGTCTGTTTACATTAAAATTAGGTGTAAGTAGAATATTAGTAAATTTGCTTAAGAAAAACTTTTTGTTAGAGCACAAAAGAAGATTACTTATGCATCTTTTTGAAAAATAAATAAATTTTTCTTCGAATGATTGAATAATTGGTTTTAATTTTCTAATTGCGTTATATTTAATTATGATTTCCTATTTACACGATTTGAGTGCTACCAAGGAAAAACCTGGAATAATTTCCCTTGGCAGCACTCATTTATCGTTATTGTTTTTTTTCATTCGTATTTTTTTTAATTTTTCGTTTATACAGTTAACTTTGAACATAACGAACCCTCTTACATCGAACTTACTTTATAACGATTTTTTTTTTAAAAAAAAAATTATTAAGTTCAGTATAGTAACATGGTAAGAACTGCCAGTCCGTTATGAAGATGGCTTTTATAGATCTTTATGCAAAAAAAAACAATAACATTAAACTTTATGCAGTAATATAGGTAAAATGACTAATGGTTTTTTAAATTTTAAAAGATGCAATATTATAAGACTTTTCCTAAACGTGAATACTTTTTTACTGGCTTTTTTTTTGCGGAAGCTTATTGCTATTTATGCTTTGGACATATACTTCGAAATTCTTATTTTACAGCCTGTCAAATAATTCAGAGGCATAAAAATTTGGTTTATTCAATATTTGTCATGAACTAATAACTGTTTCTATTTGAATAATAATAATAATAATAATAATAAATTAAGAAAATTTCTCTTTCAAAAAATCAGAAATTCAATAAAAAAAACTTTGAACCCAAATTTGAAGGCTTTTCGAAAGTTTTGAGCTACCTCAATTATTAGTTATGCTTTAACATATGTAGTGTTCCGCACGATCCAGTTTAGTCCGGGCTTGTACAAAACCGGATTCGAATTGAAAAATTGATTCAATCTAAACTTAAGATCCAAAACTGAACCGAAAATCAAATATATGTCACCTCACAATATTAACCCTTAGCTACTGTATAACGAATATTAATATTTATAACAAGATGACTTATAGCAAATTCTGGGTCAGCTGAAAAATTTCTGATGCCGTATAGATAAGTTGCCAAGTTGGAGTCAATAAGCTGCCAACGTTCAGACAATTTTTCCAGTTTCTCGGAATTTATAAAAATAATAATATATTAATATGCTATATTGTAATTTTTGTCCGAAGCTTACTATGGAGACGTATGCCTTGGGTTCGCTCACGTGATACATATCCAATCAAAATATAACAGATCGATACGAACCATCCCGACAAAGCTTATCGGTTTCCGTTAATCATATTAGCTTCAGACATTAACAGCACCTGTTTTACTAGTATTAGTCAACTCTCTGTAGATTATATTAAATATGGTGATTAATAAAGGGTCTTTGCACATGCGATAGCATATCTATGTATTTGTTAATCGAACCCCAAAACTAGGTCAAATTTGGCCTTTGGAGATGAGTTTCAAAATCCCCAAAGACAAATTAATCTGCCAAAATTAAACCAGTTTTGAGATCCGATTAAAAAACTAGCCTATATAAAAAAATTAGTTGAGTTTTTGTTAGTTTTTGCTAAAGTATTCTATTGAAGTGTATGATTTACTATCACAGTATAGCACTACTATGTAAGATTTTTAAAATTTTGCCAATTAATTTTATTATAGTAAT